CAATATTTGCATCCTAGACATCTGAGGATATTCAGCAGATAGAATAATTTTTAATATCCTCTTAAAAATTAAAAATACGTATTTTTAATTTTTAAAAGAAAATTATGCCAGGCTCTAAAGGAAGGGGATGCCAGAAAAATAATTTAATGACATATCCCCTTTTAAAATGTTTAACTATTTAAAATTTAGATTGCAAATCTTATATTGCTGAGGATATTCAGCAGATAGAATAATTTTAATTTCCTCTTAAAATGTATAAAAAATCCTATGAGGTTGGGAAGTAGGGGTTTCAGGATTTCTATCTTGATGAAATAAATAGTAAAGATATATATATTGCGTGTTAAATTACGTAACGAATAATGTTCATTTGCCAGTGTATTCAAAGATATGGTAGCAGAATTAAATGAAACGGACGATGATCGTATGAACAAGTGAGGAGTCAAATGAAGAAGATGGAATATTACAATATGGTAATAACTCAGAGTGTGATAATAAGTGTAACAAGTGTTTAATATGCGTGTATGAAATTTTTAAAAGATGCAATATGCATACAAGTGACACTAATTTATTGGCATATGAATACATTTTAACTTTGTCATTTACGCAGGTTAATTGCGAGAAAACATTTAGTAAATTAAAAATTATAAAAATAAGCTGAGAGCTAATATTGACCAAGAAAAATTAGAAGCGTTTTAATGATGTCAGTTGAATGAGAACTTAGCGCAGATTGAACTATAAGATATTCTTGTATATTTGCGCAAAGGTTCATAGTTTGAGAGATTTATTAACATAAAAATTATATATTTCCTTTTTTATTTGAATTTTATTAATATCTATTTACAATATGATCGGTGCCTGATTTTATAAGTGTAGCAATTTTATACGCTGTAATATTGTATAACTGCAATAAGTAAAATTAATTGATTTGATATATTGAGTATGTATTTTTTTATATTTAACATGTGATGTATGATTTGATTTTATAGTGCAATATCGTTATAAATCTAATATAAATATATATGTGCCATGAATATTATTTTATTTTGGTAGTGAATATGATTTTAGATGTGTTTTTAAAAAATAAATTATATGATTATCGTATAAATACTATTCCTTTTCTTCCTAAAAATGTAAATCTTTTGAACTTATTCTCAAAAATAATAAGTAATAAAAATCATGTAAATCGAAGAAGCAATATAAGGGAACCCGGGCAAAAGCGGGCTGAAGGCCCGCAAAAATGGGGGTATGGGGGCGATGCCCCCATATAAATGAGGCCCCTATAAAAAAATGCCCACGAGGCCGTAGCGTCGCCAGTCCGCCCCTGTTACAATATCAAAATAAAATGAATGTTAGTATCTATTGAATGGTTCGGGAATCCTGTGCGATCCTATTTTAAAGTAAATATTATAAAAAAATCAATCTATTTGTAAACTAGAAGATTGTGGTAAAGTTTTAATTGGGTACATGCTGTAAATCTCGAACGACATATAGAAAAAATCCATAATAGAGAATTCAAATTATCTTTTAAAAAAAAAGAAAATTTGACTTTAAAAATATCTCAAATATCGAAATCAGTATGATACAATCCAAAATGCTTTTAAGCCCCGAACTACAACAATGCAAATTAAATCAATAAAGAAACTTTAATCCGCTCCTGAACCGAGTTAATAACAGTTCACGGAAGACCAATAAAATCAATTATACCCAAAACTTATTTCGTTAAAATTAGATATAACAACTAGATATGGATCCATATTGGGGATCAATGTTCAATTTATAAATAACGGAAAAATAAAATTAAGAACTCTATGCATAAAAGATATAAAAGAACGACACACATCAGAATATCTTAAAAAAATTATTCTAGATGTTCTAAAAGAATATGCAATAAGAATTGAGCAAATTTACATGATAACCACCGATAATGCAGCAAATATGATTAAATTAATTAAGCTATTAACACATCACGATGAAGATGATAGCTTTAACGATTATTTAAATAATGATGATATAGATGATAATTTATATAATAACAATGATATAATTGATGATGAAAAAAAAGAACCTTATAATATTAAAAATATTAATCTTTTACCTAATACCAGATCCATATTAATGGACATTAGATGTGCCTTACATACATTTCAATAAATAATTGCATTAAAAATTCAAATGAAATTGTCATTATAAATAAAGCAAGAAACATGCAAAAAAATAAGAAATCAGACGACTATTCTGTCCAAATAAAATTTGAAAAAATCACTAATAGTTTGTTGCACAAGATGGAACTTAATCTATTTAATGTTGGAGAGATTACTAGAGTTAAAATCTTTTTGCAAGAAATATCGCTCCAAAGCAATGATCAGAAAAAATGTTTTTCAGAGAATGAATGTAAAATAATTAGGGATATATTAAAAGCTTTATATCCAGCTTATATTTGACAAAATATATACAAAGTCAACAATACTATGGGCGATTTTTATGCTGCGTATATCAAATGTATCGAGCCAAATAGATATTAGATACTCCATTTGCCAGACTTTTAGTTTCTACGATAAAAGCACGAGAAATAAATTAGAAACGATGTTTTTGCTTAGCTATATATCTCAACCCAATAATGTATTTTTAACATTTGAAGAAAAAGCGATCGCCAAAGAACATCTTTCTAAAACTTGTAACTTAATACAAAATTTAAATAATCCGAATTGAAATTCTAGATACTATGCCACGTGTTCACATTCGAAAGATAATTTTGAAGATTTATTAGTCGCATGAAAGCCTTAATAAGATAATTCTCAGAGCATAGAAAATTATAATGTACAGAATTAGAATATATAATTCGATAATATATAGTTTAGAAAGATACTAATCTTTTGAATTATTGGGAAAATGTAAATAGTATGTCATAACTTTATAAGTTAGATATAACTGTGCTAGCAGTTACAGCTACGCAATATCCATTGAAAGAATTTTCTAGCCTTAAGTTTATACTCTCTGAGCAGAGAACTAAATTAAATTCTGAAAATTTTAGTTAACCATTCTAATTCTCTTTTTAAACATAATTATAAATTTCATTATATTTATTCCTCATTAATCTTATTTATGAAATAAATTAATTTGTCTAATATATATTTACTAAGTTAAATAATAAAAATATCTATAAGATTATCATGGATAAAAAAAAATTTCCCAGTCATGAGTTACTTTATTTGAATTTTTACTGATTGGATAAATTAAATAAGAAATTATAAAAATATAAATTTAAAATTTTTTTCCCTGTATGGTTAAAAACCGGAACAAACCGAAAAGAACCATAAATTATAAACCGAACCGATTAATTTTTTCAAAAAAAAAGAAATGGTATAAAATTTTAAACTAAAATTGAACCGCTATAATTAACGGTTTGAAAACCAGTTTTTAATCCTATATTACTGTTTAAATAATTTTTGCTGAGTAAATATCTTGTGGACATTTAAAATGCTGTCTTTAAAGATTGAAATAATTTATCATAAATACATGTTGCATTAAGAAAATGAACAAAATTTAACATAAAATGGAGTTGCAAAATTATCAATATATTTATTAAATCTTTTCAGAAATTTATATTAGTTGAATTAAAATTAGAAGACAGTGGCCTTCTCCTATATCTCTTACCTTTAATCTTACTTATCCTTATTTCAGTTAATTAAAAAAGTTCCCTCCAATGAATATTACTAGAGTTGAGCTATTATTATTATTATAGAAATAAAATTCTGATTATTTGATCAAAAAATAAAAGTTGGGGAAATTTCGCCAACATTACTAACTAAATATATGAATGCTTTGATGTAATGATTAAATAAAGATTGATTAAAATGTGTAGGTTTAAAAAATATATTTATATAGGAATGTTCCAAAAGCTGGAACAGAACAATTTTGACCAGTACTCAAAAATAACAATTTTCAATACTAAAATCAAGTTATATATTATTATTAGTGTTGTTAAACGGCTCGTTTTGAGCTGATTTTTAAAAACGGCTAACTCAATATTCCATCCAGAAAAATATTACGCAAGCCTGAAGATTTTGCTCATAGAAGGAACAAAGGTCTAGACATATATTAACGAAATCTCGAGGCTTAGGCGTAATTTTTCTGGCTAAAACATTGAGTTAGCCGTTTTAGAAAATCGGCTCAAAATAAGCCTTTTAACAACACTTATTGTTATTAAATTATTGGTCTTTGGGCCTCCTTTAACCATCATTAGAAAATAAGATTAATTATGTAAATTACAAACTAATATAAATATTTAAATTTAGTTAAAATAGATAATTGTCAACTTAATTTTATCCTAATTTTAGTCAATATAATCAGCTTAGATCAGCAACAAGTGGATTTTAGCAATTAAATAAAAAAGGTGCTGGTTAAAAATTTTTTTCAAAATCCCTGGTGTATTTTAAAAAATTTGAAGGCAAGCAAAGCATGCTATTTTCAAGTTTTAAAAAACAAATAAACAAGAGCCAAAGAATTAATCAAATAAATTTTAAAAATTGTGCAAATATTTTAGATAAATGGGAACAAGTAAATTTTTTAACAATGAGTTGTAATAAAAAATTAATCAATAAGTAAGGCATTTGAGTTGAAAAGCAGGCTATTGAAGATCTCTAATTAGGGCTAACCTAATTTTCTAAAAATGCGAAAGCATTTAAATAATTCAGCAACAATATTTTTTTATGTTAAATATTTAAAGAGAATGAATGTCAAAAAATTTCATCAGCTGGTTTAGAGAGATAATATTCTCGCTATAACACAATATTGGGACTGACTAGTTATTTTTAATCATTTTTGCCATAACAGACTTGCATATATATTAAAATTTAGTTGTGATTTTAGTATTGATAATATAGATTTTTTTATTGTAGTTCAAAGATGAGAATAAAATACATAATGCTATATACAAAGATCTAATTTATATACAATAGGATAAAAATATAAAGAATATACATCACAAATATTATTAAATTTGATAAATAACTACATGAATGATGTATAAACATTTAGTCGACCTGTTTAACATAATTTTTTATATAAAAATATTTTATTACAAACTAATTTTAGAATAAAAATTGTAAACTATATATTTATTCATGCTTTCATATAGTTTGAATTATGATAAAAACAAGCACAATATATTGATATTATTCTGAAAAATAAAATTTTTAAATATTATTTTAGTTTAATTTAAAATTTTTTTAGATAATTAACGAGAATAAGGATGGTAATTAGAAGCATGGCCTGATGCACCACGTTTTGCTTTTCCGCCATTTCCTTGGTGAGCTAAAGGTGCTGGTGGAACTGTAAATTTAGAAGTGATGTAATTTAATTTGTAATTTTTTGTTTACAGCAAAGACCTACAGAGGTTAAAATTTTAGGCCCCAAAAATTTAATATTTTAATAAATTTGTAGTTTTTAATAGCTTAAAAGAGGAATCATAAATGTAAGCAAATAAAATTTATTTTTGATTGGCCCAGCCCAGTTTTGTTAAAAAAATTTATATTCTTGGACATGAAGGTCTCTGGTCTATAGTAAATTAATAAACATTTAAATTTAGAAATACCTTGTGGTTGCCCATAGTAACCTTGATAATAATCTGAATAACCAAAAAATAAATCATTATTGAATGAGAAAAATATTGTTAAATTTGTTTACCAAAATTAGCATTAGGATAGTAACCTCCATAATCATAATTTCCATAGTTAGCATAACCTAAAATACAAAAGTAAAATATTAGTTAGCATAAATTATAATACAAAAGTTAAAATAGATATTAATACCTTGGTAATAAGCAGAATATGGATTCCATGGAGGGTTTTGTTGGTTGTAAGTCACTTTTATAAAAAAAATAATGTTCAAATTAAATTATATGGGATATACTTTGAGGAGGTTGATTTGCATTTTTATTAGATGGTGTTGCTTTTTTAACATCACACTACATTTTTAAAATTTAAGTTTTATAAAAAGTTGTTTAATAAAAACCTCTTTCCCTTTAATCAAAATTTTAGAATTTTTACAAATGTCTTGTACAATATCAGGGCTATCAAAAGTTAGGAAGCAAAAATTACGTTTTTGATTTCTTACTTTATCAAAAGGTTGTTCAATTTTTTCAATCTAAAAATTAATTTAAATGCTTTTTAAAATTTATAAATTTTATAATATAAAATAAATTTCTTGGTATTTTATGTTTAATAATATAAAACTTTAAATAACTTACAGCTCCATATTTCACAAAAACATTTCTAATTTCTTCTTCAGTAGTAGCAGGGTCCATACCACCAATAAAAACCTTTCTTAACAATTCTCTTCCAGGTCTGCTTTTAGCCCTTTTAGGATCAATTTGCTTACCATTAACAACATGAGGACCAGTTGCAATTAGCTAATTTTTAAAACAATTTTAAAAAATGTAAAATTTTTAATAAATTAATTTGCCATGTTTATTTTTTGTTAATTACTACATTGTCCACTCCTTGAACACTGTCAAAAAGTACAAAACCAAAGCCTCTGGATTTTCCTGTATGAGGATCTGTTTTGATATTTATGTCTACCACATTACCATATTTTGCAAGATATGTTTTTAAATCACCTATTTAAATTAAGCATATAATAAACATAATAAATATTTTAATACTCATGCCATTAATTTATTATTAATTTATATTAGATTTAATTATTGATGAACAAAAGCCAGAAAAAAAGAAGATAATTTTTGAAAGGCACTTTAGATGGAAAATTTTGCGTTACCTAATGAGGTGTCTACGCAGCTTACTCTTGCATTGAGCCAATTGATGAGAAGGGCCAGTTTTCATATTTTATTTAATTAAGTTACTATTACTTTACTTATCAATAAACAATAATTCACAATTTATTAACAGTTTAATCTTATATAATACAAAAAAAGGTAAAATTAAAATAGATAAAAGAAATGGTGTATTGGTGAAGAATGCCATTCATTCAGGTTCTTGAGTGAATCTAAACAAATAGGTGATAGATTTAAAAATCAGTGTGAAATACAATTATTAGAAATAATTATGGTGAAGTTTTTATCTATGTTGAGAATGATTTATTTTTAAACAAGAACCAAAAATAGGAATAATCAAACTAATTTACTAAAAATTCTATATGTAAATAAATTAGTACTTTCGGTAGTTTCCCAGCTAATTCCCCCAATAAACAATTTTCTATTAAAACATTATTATTGTCTATGTCATATATTATACCTCTCGTCATCGTCACGCTTGGTGGTGTTAACAGTTTCTCTTTTACCTGATGAATCACCGCTTCCGTTCATTTCTTTCTGGTGTTCATCTTGATCCATTAAACCCTGTTCATTCATTGAATAATTTTCTTTATCATTATGATCGTTATTTCCTTGTTCATTATACTCATTCATATCATTGTGTTGATTGTATCCATCGTTATCAGCCATTTTTAATTTTATAAAAAAATAAAGGAAATATTATAATAATTTGAATCTAACAAGACCTTAATGTTTAAAATTATGTGTAATTTAATTTTTAAAAAAGATAAAATAATCGTAATAGTTATTAAATAATTATATTAATTAATATGTTTATATAATATTTTATAATTCAAAATATTATAAGCTGCTTAATAACTTATAAAATCAAATTAATTATATGATTAAAATATTATCAAATAATAGAATTTTATTATGAAATATTAAAGTAAAATAACATTTTATAATATTATCAAATAAAGAAATCTTATTATGAAATATTAAAGTAAAATAACATTTTATAATATTATCAAATAAAGAAATCTTATTATGAAATATTAAATTAAAATAATATTATTACTAATGTATAAAAATCCTGGTAAACCAGATATATTTATAATATTATTAATGATGTAATTAAATCCTGGTAACCAGATATATTTATGTAAAAACTATTTACGTTTGAAATGTTACTAGATCCTGAACTAGGTCTCAATAATCAGATGCATTATTTTTGCAAAAATGTAACTACTGACTGCAATTTTTTCAGTATGTAATGACAAAAGTAATCAAGTATTTTCTAGTTATTTTTATAATACATATATATATTATTTTTACATGATAAACCAAATCTAGTTGATATAATATAAGTTTCACTTATATCAAGTTCTCCAGTAATAAAACGTTTACTTAGTTAAATAATACCTTTTTTGGGAGAAAAAAGGGAAAGTTTTTAGAACGAAATTTTGAAATTAGTTTATTGTTTAAGTCAAATAAAATATATTAATCCTAAATTTTTATATAAATCAAATATTTTATTCTATTGTATGGTATTTAATTTGATGTATATATTTATTTCAATGCAATTGTTTTTTCATTCAAATTGTATCTTCAATTGATGATTAAAATTATTGCTCAATTGTTTAGTAAAATATAAAAGATTAGCTTAAAAAATATTCTATTGTCAATGTAATTGGCTATTTCTGAAATGTAATTGTATTCCCTTAACAATATATTCCTATCATAATTAAAAAGAAGTAAGAGTTATATTATAATAATGGCTATATTTAAAAAATTTCATGAAAAATTGTTTTTTTATAAAATATAATTAGCAAACCAAAATTAATTTTATAAAAATGTACCATAGCCAAACAACCAGAGTTGTTAAAAGATCGAATCAAAAGATCGACGATCCTGGATTCGATTGCAAAATTGTCAATTTTACGAAATTTATGATTCTGACTTAAATTGAGGATCGAGATCATTTTGTTTAAAATTCGATCCCGATCTTTTTAAAAATTAATTTTTTTTAAAAAGCAATAAATAAAATAAAAATTTTGAAAATTAAATTAAAATATTTAAAAAAAATATATATCTTCATATTTTATCAACTTCCATTCCAACATTTTTAGAGATATATTTATTCATTTCCTAAATTTTACGAGATTTAGAGCTCTTACAAGTTATTTAATATAAATTTATAATAATATATTAATATTTATTTTAATAGGTAAATGTAATGTCCATTATAGATTTAGAAGATTCTATTGCTTCTACTTTTGATGTAACAGCAGATATAAGTGAGAATAAGAATCTTTTACCATTTTACGTAAGTATTTTACTTTATGTGAAATGGATGAAAGCAACTCTTATAATATGATCAGCACCAAATGCCGTCTCTGTAAGAAGATAATAACATCTTCCAAAATATCATCCTCGAACTTAAAGAGACATTTACAAGTAATTCTCTAAAAAAATTTTTATTTGATAATCTTAATGTCAACATGTTTAAATTTAATTTATTACATTCCTGAGTTGAGCAGGTCCTACAGAAATAAAATCTAGATACAGATTCTTTATAAAAAAAATGAATTATTAGATACAGTATAATTAATAAAATATTTGATGAAGAGTTAATCTTGGTTTTGTTATTTATAAATAATAATTAGGCATTTATTTTTTAATATTACTATTATATTTGTTTAATTTTCAAAAGAAGAGTATTTATAATAAATGTAAGTATAATAACTAATAATTAAGTCTTTATAATGTATTTTGACTTTCTTTATTATAATTAAAACATCCAATTCAATGTTATTTGTATTGAACTTAGCAATGTTTCACCAAAAGAAAAATAAATATCTATTCTATTATTTCTTTATTATAATATATTAAATCTAATCAATTAGTATTATATTTTCAGTTTTAGCTTGATTATATAATCCTCTTGACAACATTTTTAGGGCTTTTTTATTAATATATTTTGAATTGAAAGTATTTTTTGTATCATTTGACTCAATCCATAAGTTCTTAAATGCCAAAAAGCCTCATTATATTCATAATAGGAAAATATTTTATCAAAATCTTTGGCCTATATCATCTTGGGCAACTTTTAATAATGATAGACAATATTGTAAACTTAAATTTTTGAGATAACCTACCCCCTTTTAACCACTAATAATATACTTTAATATGTTTAACAAAATTTGTTGAACCCTTTATCATTTTTTTGTTTATATAGGTTTTACATTCAGCCTGTACATTGTTTTTTTTTAACTTTAAATTTCCATATAAAATTTTAAAAATGAAATTTGATTCAGGAGAAGTTATTTTCATCTTTTATAAAGAAAAATCAGAGTGAATTTAAAAATGAGATTACCAAATACCTCAACGAATTCTCTACACAAAAAAATATATCACTGCAAAACCAAAGTGGTTCTGGTTGCAAATCCAGACAATCTAAATTAAATTTTAACAATCTAAACATTCCAGCTGTATCGCAAAAAACAGCAGACAAGGTTATCATAGATTTTATTATTGACACTTTCCAACCACTGTCTCTGGTTGATGCTTCATTTGAAAAAATGATTAAAACTTTTTCTCCTGCGACAAAAATTATTTGTCGCCAAACACTGGGCAACAGGATATCTACTTCCTTCTCTTGTCTGAAGTTTCTTATGTATGCACCACTGCTGATTGTTGGAGTGGTCATCGAAGGTATATTATATTTATATGAATTTTATAATTTTTATTTTATTAGGGCTTTTATTGGACTTATTGCACATTGGCTGGATCCGTTAACCCTCAAGAGAAGGTCAGCCGCTTTGGCACTGAGGAGGATAATTGGGAGGCAAACGTATGATGTTTTGGCCAATGAAATCATGGGTATCCACAAGTTCTATAAAATTCATAATAAGGTGGTGAAGATGGTGACTGACAATGGAACCAACTTGTCAAGGCAAGTAATATTTATATTTAGCAAAAAATATTTAAATAAATTTATTTTTTCTAGAGTTTTTGGAGAAAATGAAGAAGATAATTGATAAATTTGGATGACATATTATCCGTTGATGACCCAATTATTCCTACTATCAGCCTACCAAAACATCAACGTTGTTGTTGTCATAATCTTAACCTTATTGCAACAACATATGCAAAGATGGCAGATAGTGATCTCATTTATAAACGAATATCTAGATCCACTTTTGCAAAATGTTTTGCTTTAGTTAATAAACAAAATATGTCGTCTAAAATGGCGAATATTTTATTGGAGAAATTGGGATGATATTTAATAGCTCCCAACAAGTCAAGATGGAATTCTTATTACCAATACATGAAATTAATAGATAAGATGCTTTCTGAAAAGTTTTCAGAAGTAGAACAAGTATGTGATCAAATTGGATTTGCAATGTTTAGGCAAGAGGAATGCTTTTTTGTTAAAGAGTATGCAACAGTAATACAATGATATTCTCTAAATAAATTTAAATTTTATAGGTTATGGAATCTTTGGCGATCTCGTTAAAAATCTTGATGGGAGGATAATAAAGAGCAGGGATATCTAACTCCCGTTCTATCGATATTGATAGATAAATTAACGAAATTTAGCTGCCTGCGGTATTGTCAGCCCCTTGTAGATAGCGTTCTTAGAGGTATTGATAAAAGGTAATATTTTTTTATGCAATTATTATATATTATCAGATATCTGCAAAATATATTAAAAAATTGCAAAGATCTGGCAAATTTAGTAAAATATTTTTAACAGGCCAGTTCTACTAAACCTCTGATATCTAGTAAAATATTAATGGGCCTTTGAAGACATTAAAAATTTATATTTTAAGCTAATATTTTGATTAATATTCTTTGTAAATAAATTACAATGTTAATTTCTTTGTATATAAAATATTAAGTTTACATTTAATCAATATTTATGATATGACCCAAATATAAATAAATACCATACAGATGATTTGCCAGACTTGACTGTAAAATTTAAAAGGGTTAAGTTTTGCAGATACTTGATTTGATTTATATGAATAAAATGAACACTTATTTAATAATAAATTAATTATCATTTCATAATATAGATTTCCTTCACTGTATGAAGACAGTAACATTTTAGCAGCCATGATTCACCCTAAATTTAAACTTAATTGGCCTTATATTAATCTGCCACAAAATATGATGGTAAAAGAAAGATTAGTTGCCCATTTGGAAAATATGCAGGAACAGCCATATGCTGATACCTCAAATGAATGTATGGATGACATTGATGCTTTTTTGGGGAAAAATATTGTACAGAATGTTCCGTTAAAAAATTTTTTTATTCAAATGATTATTTCATGAATATTTTTAATACTTATATTAATTATATTTATTGAATATAATACACCTTTGCCATCAAGCACTCCTGTGGAGCGCTTGTTTAGTAAAGCTAAACATGTTCTAAATGAAAGATGCGGATGTTTAAATGATGATAATTTAGAAAAAATTTTATTATTAAAAGCTAATTTTAATTATAAATAAAAATATTATAATTGTTATATTTATTACACAATTACAATAAATTTCTACCATATTTAATTTATTTTTATATTAGTTAATTTTGCATCGGTTATATTATATTATTATTCAATTACAATAAATTTATAACATATATTAGTTAATTTTGCATCGGTCAGAAATTTCCTTCAGAAATTTAAATAGAAAAATAGGTCGATCCTGGATTTCGAT